CCCACACCCTGTCCCAGACCGACTACTTGACCAGGCTGGTGGCCCACGCGTGCTGGGAGGCCAAGGAGCCGGACGGCAGCTTCCGGCCCGAGCGCGTGGGCGTGTGCGCGCTGCGCGGGGGCCACGCGCAGGACTCGTGCCTGCTGCCCGGGCTGGTCCTGGCCGCGAAGCCCTGCGGCCAAGTGACTGTGGTGCTGAGCGGCGCCAGGGTGGCTCTCTTTGCCTGCACCTTCGGGCCCGCCAACCCAAAGGCACCGGCGACCGCCCGTCTCTCCAGCCCGCTTGACCTCGCCTCGTTCAGGAAGGGCAGCGAGCAACTGATAGAAAAGCAAGTGGCCCAGCTGGCAGCTGCGGACGTCAACGTGGCGGTGGTCTGGGGCGAGGTCGAGGAGCGCGCCCTGGCGCAGGCCGACCAGTACGGCGTCATGGTGATCCAGGTGAAGTCCCGGCGGGAGCTGGTTTACCTGAGCGAGGTGCTGGACACGCCTCTGATGCCTTATCTGGTTCCGCCGCTGGAGCTCGGGAAGTGCCGGAGGGTCTACACGCAGGACCTGGGAGAGGGGCTGGCTGTGGTGTTTGAATGGGAGAGTCCAGGCACCCCGGCCCTCACCTTGGTCCTTAGGGGGGCCACGCCCGAGGGGCTGCGGGGCACAGTGCAGGCCGCCTACCATGGAATCGATGCTTACTGCCAGCTGTGTCAGGACCCCAGACTGCTTCCAGGGGCTGGCGCCACGGAGATGGCTCTGGCGAAAATACTCGCAGATAAAGGAGCCAAATTACAGGGGCCTGACGGGCCTGCGCTCCTGGCATTTGCCCAAGCCCTGCGGTCAGTTCCTGCGACGCTGGCGGAGAACGCAGGCTTAGTTGTCTCCAACGTGATGGCAGAGATGAGCGCTGCTCACCAAGCTGGCAACTTCCTCACAGGAGTGGGAGTCGAAGGGATCATAAATGTGGACCAGGAAGGGGTGTGGGACACCCTAATAGCCAAAGCCCGAGGAATTCGAGCCGTGGCTGATGTGGCACTACAGCTCGTGACTATAGATGAAATCGTGGTGGCCAAGAAAAGTCCCACACCTCAGCCAGACTTGAATCCGAATCCTAAGAAGGCAAAGGATCGCCTGCCTCCTGTGGGGGGAAAAAAAGTCCTTTAACAAATAAGTAGCGACATCTTCAATAAAATGGGGGTTGCCAAGGAGGGCACGATCACCCCAAAAACGAACGCTCACTTTATTTATTCCCTCCGTGTCCGGTACAGTTAGAGTCCATTTCTTTAGTTAAAAATAGCATGAAGGACCATAAGATAAAAGCGCTTTCGTTGATTTACTTCCTTTCAGGTTCCTTGGCTTTTTTTCACTTCCTGTTTCTCTCTATCAGATTCTGTTCTGTTCCTCCAAGAAGAGCAGGAGTTGATTCTATCAAAGATTTTTAAATCGATCACCCGGGCTTTGCGGTGCGAAAAAAGTGCAGGAATCTCAATCTG